GAGTGGGTTCGCACTTGTTCGTCGTGCCAGCGTGCAAAGGTCAGTCGACACGTATCTGCGCCTTTAGGTACTTTCGACTTGCCTCGCGCGCGATTCAAACACGTACATATTGACCTTATCGGTCCTTTGCCCATTTGTCAAGGGTACAAATATTGCCTGACAGCTATTGACCGATTCACACGGTGGCCTGAAGTCATGCCATTGATGGACATAACAGCTGAAACAATAGCAAAGGCTTTAATATCTGGCTGGATATCCCGTTTTGGTTGCCCTATAGATATTGTGACAGATCGCGGCGCACAATTCCAGTCCTCGCTGTTCCAATATCTTGCAAAAACCCTAGGATTCCACCATAAACGCACCACCGCTTACCACCCGGCATGAAACGGTCTCGTGGAACGCTTTCACAGGCAGTTGAAAGCCTCCATTACCTGCCATGCCCAACAAAATTGGATCGAAGTGTTACCTTTTGTGCTGCTTGGCATCCCTACCACCTTCAAAGAGAACTTACCATCTTTTACGGCAGAACTACTTTACGGCGAGCCATTAAGACTCCCTGGCGATTTTTTTCACCCGAGCACACCCGCCACATCTGATTTGTCAGATTTTACTGCGCGGTTACGCTCGTACGCTGAAAAACTGAAACCAGCTCCAGCATCTCGTCATGGCAACCACAAAGTATTTGTATATAAGGAACTTGCTGCCGCCGATTACGTCTTTCTGCGAGAAGATGCTTCACGTGTGACGTTCCAACCTGCCTATTCTGGACCTCATAAGGTATTAGAGACAAGCGACAAGGTCTTTAAACTTCTTGTCAAAGGTAATTCCGTCACCGTGAGTATCGATCGCTTAAAACCCGCATTCGTACTTACAGACGAGGAAGACCTAATACATAACACACACACAGGCACACTTCCAAACACCACTAATACACATACACACAAACAATACATGCACACCCATTGTAACTCAGCCTCAAAAAACCACACGCTCTGGGAGACATGTCCGTTTCCCAGATTACTATCGACCCTAACCAGGTCTCTGAGGGGGGGTTATGTGGGGTTCTCCCACAATCTTATTTATACATGTTATATAAGCATTTTGAAATATATAAAGTATTATATAATATGTATAAATTTATATTTTATTACTATAAATAAATATAAAACATTAATTAAATACGAAATATATTCACATTAATATACAATAACATTTCTTATATATACATTATTTACATTTAATATATAATAATATTTATTAATTATATTCATATACTGTCATCACAAGCACAAACATTTATTCTCAAAACAATTTCACTATATCGTGCCGTGCATCAGCCGATCTATAACAGTCGTGTGGCGAATGGACACGCGCACTTACTTTGCCGCCTATTGTTCGGCAAACCTGCCGGCTCACGCGCATAGGTCACGTTGCACGACAGTCGGAACCAAGAAGCTTATATATAAGCTTCTTGGTCGGAACCAATACTCGCCACCGTACGCACGCTAAATTGCTCCGCGCTTTATAACCCCGACACTCGTAGTTGTAGTCAACCGTATTATTGTTTATGTTGCTTTGTCTGTGCTTTTCCTTTATACTTTTGTGCTTGTTTATCACTGACTGTGCTCTGTACTCCTTCTATTATAGGTATATACTTTCCTCTGTGCTTGTGCAATAAACTATTAACTGTGAAGTGCTGGATTATTGTTTACACCGCCTCCCGACTGCACCGCAGATAAGTACTAAGCGAACTATACCTATCTATCTACACCCCACAACGCTATATTTTCAAACTTTTTTTTATTCTTGCGCAACCTTTTATCTTGCATTAACTGGGAAGGCATGACGTGTTGCCTGCCAATAAGGATATTTGAGGATTCTTCCGTTCATTTCGTCCACTTCAAGGGCTCGACGAAATGAGCAGAACCCTACCCACTAAAACCACAAACAATACTCCTGCACCGGTCCTCCAAGACACACTCGGAGGTGTAGATGAGGAAGATAATCATAATCATAATCAAAATCATTTATTCAGTTTAGGCTGTTACAAGCACATGAATGTCTAGAAGCTACGCCATCGGTTCGTAAATCTACGGCGGGAGACCTTGTACTGAGAAGAACCGGCAAGAAACTCAGCAAGGGCTGTTTTTTTCTCCCTGTTTTATCATTTACAGAGTCGTCAAGTTGAAAAATGACTTCAGAGACGATTCATGAAGTCACCCTTCATTACATAATGTGAAATTATACATTAATTGTTCACCTGCATTTTTACTGTGTCACACAGTATAAATACAAACAGAGTTATTTATAATAGGTGTTATTGAACATTTACATCTTAAAACTCAAAGTAGTTAGGGCAGACTCATCTCCGCTGGCAGCACCCGTTCACGAGCATGACGCATGAACCAGCCATCGCTTCACTCAACCATATTTGAGGGAACGTAACGACCCGCCTCACACGACACCACCTAAGAGACTTTTAAGAGAGCATGACTACCCATAGCCACCTATATCAACCACAAGATATTTACTTAAACTTAAAGTCATTTATCTGTAGGACACTGCAAACAATTACAAAGCAAAAACAATGGAGAAATCATGACCACGCCGTTTTGTCATTCAAATCTTCTTAAATAGTCTGATATTCTTCCTTACGTAATCAGCTTTAAATACAGCTTTTCTATAGAAGTATCATCAACACATGATTCATAATATATATCATATAGAAATACCCGTTGGAATGGTTGGAACAGTTCAAACCCAAGCATTTTTGTCTGTAATATAATCAGACACTTTATAATAAGCATTCTTAATAAGAGTTTTTTTAATAGTCGATTTAAATTTAGTCAGGCTCAACTCTTGAATATTGCTTGGGACTTTATTGTAAAAGCGAACACAGAGGCCTCTAAACGAATTATTAATTTTGTGGAGCCTAGTAGCAGGTAAAGTTAACTTATTTTTACTTCTAGTATTAAGTGTATGTATTTCACTATTTTTAGTAAATAAACTAATATTTTTTTTGACATATACTAAGTTTTCATATATGTATTGTGATGCAACCGTTATTATGCCTATTTCTTTAAACTTATTTCTTAAGGAGTCCTTAACTTTAAGATTATAAATTGATCGAATAGCCCGCTTCTGCGACACAAATATTGTTTGAATGTCGGCGGCATTTCCCCACAGTAAAATACCGTAAGACATTACACTATGAAAATAACTAAAATAGACTAATCTGGCAGTTTCTATATCCGTTAACTGACGTATTTTCATTACAGCATATGCTGCCGAGCTAAGTCTCTTCGACAATTTATCAATATGTGGGCCCCATTGCAACTTTGAATCTTGTGTGATTCCTAAAACACTGTGGTATCTACAAGGCTCACATTTCGATCCTTTATATTTACATTCGTTTTTACCTGTTTAACATTAGGTAAAACAAATTTCAAACACTTAGTTTTCCCTTCATTTAGCAATAAATTATTAACGTTAAACCAGTGGACTACCTTAGAAATAGACTTGTTCACGTCGTCAATTTGCTACTGCCTACGTTTAATTTTAAACAAAAGTGAAGTGGCATCCGCGAACAATACTATTTCATGGTTATCCTTTACAAAATAAGGCAAATCATTGATATAAATTAAAAATAAGAAAGGACCAAGGATTGAGCCCTGCGGAACTCCTATCTTAACCGACGAACCAGGAGATTTTTCTCCATTGATGTCAACCCTCTGAACCCTATCACTCAAATATGATACAATAAGATCCAGAGTGGTATCTCTAAATCCATAGAGCTGTAGTTTCCTGATCAATGTTTCATGAAAAACGCAATCGAATGCCTTTGATAAGTCGCAAAACACACCAAGTGCATCATGCGAGTTCTCCCAGGCATCAAAAATTTGCTGTACAAGCTCAACACCGGCATCGGTTGTTGAGCGGCCCCTTGTGAAACCAAATTGTTTACTATGCAGAAAGTTATTACTATAAAAATATGAATGCATTTGTTCTAGCATAATCTTTTCAAAAATCTTACTAAAGGTGGGTAGCACGGATATGGGTCTAAAATTTGTGGGGTCAGATGTGCTACCCGATTTATGCAATGGAGTTATTTTACTATGTTTCATTAGATCAGGAAAAATACCACAGTCAACACATTGAATAAAAATGCTAGCCAGAATAGGAGCTATTGTCGCAATTACTGATCTAGAAACATCCACGGAGTTACCCCACAGATCCGCGGTTTTCTTTTTATTCAATTGGTTAAAATATTTGATTATGTCTTTAGAGTTAACATATTTAAATTTAAATTGACTAGTACCTTGTTTTATGTTTTCTTTTAATATTGATTCAACAGCAATGGGGGAGGAGTCCAAGGATTTTGTAGTTGAAACTGGAATATAAGTGAAAAAATTCTCAAATGCTGTAGCAACTTCAGTATCTGATGTAACATTTCTATTTTCAATGTTTAAATTAATACTGGTATTTCGAGATTTAGATTTTCCAGTTTCATTGTTTATAATATTCCATGTCATTTTAATTTTCTCATTACTATTCTTAATCTTACAACTTAAATAATTTGATTTAGCTGTGCGACATACCTTTTTAAATAACTTAGAATAATTACGTACATACTCTCTGAAACTTTCAGTAGTATTAATGCTGCGTTCATTGTATAGTTCATAAAGTTTTCTTCTACTGTTATGTATGCCTGGGGTGGCCCACTCACTGTAGGTTACTGTACGATAGGGATAGGGATACGCGACGATAGTGCGAGTTAGAGCCACCAGAACATGCCCTGCCGTCTGTCTGTAAGCGAATCCCTTTCTACGTTACGTTGTGCGGTGCCCCAGAGTATCAAGGGCACCATTAATCATAGGAACAAGTGCAATGCAGTCTCAACGCTCCCGTATACACCCGATGCATGTGCAGCCTAAACTGACCTGATATGAAAAGACCAGCTTTTGTTTCTTTAAAGCTTATATTAATAATTTCATTCTCAGATAAAGTTCCAATGAGTGGAATACGCCTTCCAGCGTTTCCGTTAATGCCAGAAAACTTACCATTAGTAGCATGGCATCCTTGGAGTGATGTCCGCAAGAGAGACGACATAAATCAATTAAACATATCATTCCCTTTTGGTAACATGCCTCCTGAGTGGATATTGAAAATAAGACAGAGTTACTATGCTGCAGCAGTTTATATTGATAATTTAATTGGGCTACTAATGAAACAAGTAAATCTCAATAACACTATAGTTATCCTTACAAGTGACCATGGTAAGTTTATTATTATAAGGTTATGTTGGGATGAAAATTTTTTTTTTTTATAAAATACTTTTAAACTCATCGCACTATTTTGACAGTACACATGTGTTATAACAAAACAATGGAGCAGCAGCTGAATAAATAAAGATATTGTGTCGAAAATATAAATATTTGCAATTTAAGTATTTTTAGGGTTCCGTACCTCAAAAGGAAAAAACGGAACCCTTATTGGATCACTTTTTTGTCCGTCCGTCCGTCTGTCAAGACTGTTTTTCTCAGGAACGCGTGGAGGTATCAAACTGATTCATATCTGGAGGCCATACACATTAGGTTTTGCATGATGGTTTTAGCCTAACATGCATAACCGACAGGCAAGCCCTTACGTATATGTGATAAAACTGTACAGTTTGCGGTGCATGTAACTTGGTTATGCATGTCGGTTATGAATGCAAACCATCATGCAAAACCTAACGTGTATGGCCTCCATAATACTCAGGTCTACTCAAGGTCTACTGTGCTGTGAAAAAATCAAACTTCTAAGCCAAAGCAATCAGAAGATACAGCCGATTATGCAGCAAATTTTCGAAACTTGCACGGGAACCAAAACGTACAGGGTCCTTAAAAGACATCGGCCAAAACATATTTGGACCATTATCACTAATATTATTAATTAAATATAAACAGTTTTTATAAGTTGTAATTGATACAAATAAGGGCAGAGTAAAATTTAAAAAAAACTGCATTGACACTCATCCTAAATTGTACTATATGGTAAACAATCTTGGCACTCGTTTTTATTGAAAATACACCATTAAAAATCAACTGATAACTAGATTCAATAGGTTTCAGTTTATAATAATGATTTATTGTAATAGATTATTGACTTCATTATTATTTTATTTTTAAATTGGTGATTTTGTTAATAAGTTGTGCCAAGATTGTTAACCAAATAGAACAAGTTGGAATGAACAGACTTTACTGTTGCCATTTATGTTGTTTATTATTGCACCTGTTTATAGTGCGTTTCATCAAATAGTTCCTATGCCGTCATGTTGGCATTCCTGTCTGTCAACGTGTCATCACCAATCACGTTATAACATCTCTCCTGGTTAACTTGTTAACCAATCAAATTGCTTTGTTAAATTGTTAACCAATATGACGGAACTATATGATGAAACGCACTATACGTCAACCGAATCGATATAATCGTTTTTTTTTGTTTTTAGAATTTAGTCACTTAACGACCCTGACCCTCTAGACAAGATACCTTTGAACAAAAGCTATCGCAATCGTTAAACAGAAAATGTATAGATTTTTTGTCATAAGCTCAGGCTTGTTTTTCGTGTGTAAGAGTCAAACACCATGCATTTTCAATTAAGTGATTATCGGTTTGATTGCAACGTCACGATAGAACTGTTTTTTTAAATACAAGAAAGCAAGGCTCGATTACAAAAAAAATACGTTTGACTAAGCGCGTATAATGCGATTCAACTAAGTAGGATCGACGGGGCGCCATGTTGTGACGTCATAGCTGTTAATTCAAACGAAATTGGTAGAGTGAGCAAAAAAGTTTTTATTTAATAAAAGTTATTTACTAAGATTAAGTGAGAAAAAAACATCCGACTTTTTAATAAAATTTAATTACTAAAATTGAAAAAAGAAAATAACCGATTTTTAATAATATTTGTTTATTAAGACTGTGTGACAAAAAACATTAATCAGAATTAAGCTTTTCAATAGGGGTGATGACGGGGTACAGTAAACGAAATTCTATTTAGTCCGTCAGTTAGATGATCAAAAAATAATGGACCCGTATTTTTTCTTTGGGCAATCAACCAAAAAATGACAAAGTTATAGCGCGTCAAAGTTTGGGAGTAGGGGCTCGTGACGTCACTTTTGAGTGAATTTTCCCTTTTAAGTGTACTCAAACGTGACGTCATGTGACTTTTCAAATCAATATATCTCTCCAATGTTTATATTATGTGAATTATCATATTATGTGATAAAAGAAAAATACGTGTCCAATACTATTTGATAATCTACCTGATAAACGAAGAAAAAAAAAAGTCATCATCCCTATTCCGCTCATCTCTGCATTACCGCCGGAGTAGTTATGAATAATCATGCACTATTACTAGGTCACATACGAACATGCACCTATATGTAAACCAAAGTTTTAAATCGAGTTTCTGAACGCAACTTAAAGTGACATTTGGTTGACGATTTAGGTTATCAAACATTCATAGCCAAAGCTCAATATATGATAATAAAATATCAACCAATATTAATTAACAATATTTGTTATTGTTTGTTTACAAATGTTTGGTTTTTATTCCATAATTAGCAGAGTGCTAAAAAAGGGTTCCAAGATTTTTTTGCAAGCCGTACTTTTCAAGCGACGTTTGACAGATGGAGGTCATTGGCTTTTCTATTCTTAATTGAATCGCATTATATGCTATTGGTTAGTCATCATAGGTCCGCGCTTATTGATTAAAAGCAGCCAATTCATTCACTTGTATTTGTTGATCAATAATAGTATCTATGTTTAATAATAATAAGTGGCCTATTCCGGCTTCACACGGGTGGGAATTTACTTTTAAAACATTTTGGGATGCTCCACTTTACTACAGAAATGGCCTGCGAACGTCATTCGAGACGTTAGTTCAAAGTCTTCAAATACTTACCCAATAATTTCATTAGCTACAGTTCCCTCTTTCCGAAACATAGTAATGCAGTAGGATTACTATTTTACGGGAAAATACCTCTCTCGCACTGCGGTTGTAGGTACCCACCCAGCCGGATTTTTGTAGAGCGACCATACTGAATGGTAGGGTAGGGTAGGTAAGGCTTGGTAGTAATATCAAATGGCTTCTACTACAATTTGAATTTATCTGTGATATTGGTTTCATTGTTATGATTTTTATGCAAAAAACAATTTCTGTAATGAAAAAATGTAATAGGTACAGATCAACGGTATTAAATACCCTAGATACACCACGAGCTCTCAAAATGTGTCCCAATCAAGATTTGCTTGAACTCCACTCAAGCACTTATTGGTTCACAGTCACGCGCGGACCGTTACAAAGTCAAGATGCCACAGGGCTCCGCGAAAAAATGCGAAAATAATACTCAGAGTACGAAGTGTCGTTTTTTCGACAGGTATCTAGTCAATGTTTGTTAATTTAACGCATTTGAAGTAAATTTTGATCTAATACTTACTATAAACTGATTGAATATAAAATATTTGCATATCGCCATATAGCCTTCTCTTTTCCTCGTGGTCCGTGCCTGCTATATTGCTAACAAAAAACTAAGGCTGAGCGCAGATTAGAGTCACGACAGTCTCAAGACAGACTATTGCTCAACAAAAATTATGAAGATGCGCACATTCGAAACGAGACGTCTCATAGACAAAAAAGTCTTATGTACACAAGAACTGCAAAGCGACAAGTCTGACTAACGACTGTCCGCTTCCCTTTGTAATGTATGCGAGGGCGCACACCAACGACAAGATTGTCTAGCGATTAGAAAGAAAGTATAATACATACGATAAAATAAGTAATATGTGGGTCCATAAATTTTGACAAATTATCAAAGATAGATTGAAACATTCATTCGAAATGGTGCCATAATTTCTATAAAATAAATAATCGGTGAAATCTATTCTGATACTGATGAAAGTGGTGTGTGTCGTATCGTAGACAAAACAGTTTCGTCTTGGTGTGCGCCTTGTGGTAGACACAACTGTTTCTTTTTAATTGTAAAGCAGTCTCGTCTATGTAAGACAAGATTGTCTAACAACTGTCGTGTCTCTAATCTGCGCTCAGCCTAAGGTTTAAATTCTTCTGCATATAGCAATAAGTCGTAAAATTTTACGAGCTTGCATTTCGAACGTTCAGAAGTCCTTGACGTAAGCGTTTCATTTAAGACCTTATACGGTATGTATGAAAGATTACTTTCGATATTGAAATAATGCCTTATGATTTTGACTATACGGAGCTCCGTGGTTCGTTCAATGTACCTTTTGGACAGTTTTCGGGCACGATTTTGTTCGTGTTGGTGTATCTAGGGTATTTAATATCGTTGGTACAGAAACGTAATAAAAATATCAAAATAACATAACCAATAAATGTTTAGAGCAATATATCTTTTTTCCTCGGCTTTCTTTCGTCGTGATTCTTACATATATAGGCTTAATAAATTACGCAGAATCTAATGATATATCATTTCTTGAAAGACGCAATAATTTAATTTGAAATAAAACGATGTATGAGATTTGACCGATGTCCTTTGGTACGAAGTAACATCTTATAGTACAGATAAAGGAAAAATTGCGAAAATCGTAAATTTTTAGTTACCATCATGTCTTTTTTTTTTAAATATACCTACAGGTTTGTACGGTACCCTCGGTGCGCGAGTCCGACTCGCACTTGGCCGGTTTTTTTATTGATCTCACTTTAAGTAAGTGTCTCAACAAATTTAACGGAAATTTGAAGAAATTAATAAAGAAGTAATTAAGTTACCTACGCGTTCGTGTCAAATTGTTATTACTACTTAATGGTTAACTTTAGATGGTATTAACTTTAAAACAACGGAACGCAAATTTGACAAAATTACTTTTCATTACAATCAACATTTTTACTTCAACCATGACTTTAAACAGCTGTCTCATTGTTTTGTTAGTTTGTTCAATAGGATACAGTTCGGTTTTTCCTATGAGATTATAATAATATGAGAACGGCCTGTACCCCAATATTAGAGCCCCATAAAGTAGGCCGAACATTTCTGGCCAATAACCAAAATCATTTTTAAAATAGTGTAAATTAAAAATTATTACATTTTTTTTATTGATGATATGCAACAATAAAGAAACGGCAATGAAAGAAAATTATTTACTGAATTTATGTTTCAGGATGAATCTTTTGTTTCAGGATGGTCACTTGGCGAAAATGGGCTGTGGGCAAAATACAGCAATTTCGATGTTGCATTGAAAGTACCATTATTATTTTTAATTCCAGGTTACCAACAAAGGTCAGTGTCGACACCTGTAGAACTACTGGACATTTTCCCTACTTTAGCAGATTTGACTGGTCTTTCGAAACACGAACCTAAATGCGGTCATAGAGTAAATTATTCGCTTTGTTTTGAAGGAGAATCTTTAGTTCCTTTGATGAAGTCTCATACAACTTATCAACGTAATAAAAATTATGCCATTAGCCAATACCCAAGGCCTGGTGAATATCCAAAACCTAATTCTGATAAGCCACGTCTTAAAGATATAAAAATAATGGGATATAGTATAAGAACAAAGAGATACAGATACACAGAATGGATATCTTTTAATAACACAATGTTTACAAGAAATTGGACGTCGATACATGGATTAGAATTATATGACCACCATGTGGACCCGAACGAGGCGAAAAATTGTTATATGAAAAAAAAATATATACATACTGTAGAGAAGCTGTCAATGTTATTAAGAACGTATGTTAATAAATTTAAATAGTTTCTGCATGCAAGCAGACGGAAAGCGCAGGACCGTTGTGTATGAAGGTCCCAAGAGGCCAGCCCAGTAGTGGAAGTCCATCGGCGGATGATTACTTCTAGTTAATCACACACGAATTGGTTGTTTCATGACTTTCTATCAGATTATATTTCGTGATTTTTAGCTCGATCTCCATACATCGATCTTAATCGCCTGTTGAGACACTGGTGTCGATTCTGGCGATTCTCTAAACCTAAACTTAAATTTGACAACAGTGTATCCTTGTTATACTCTATACAGAATGAAAAGGAGAGACTGATGTTAAATTTAGTTTTAAGTTTAGAGAACCCTGCCAAAATCGACATCACTGTTTCACACAAAATTGGTTTGACATTTGTGTACGTTTTAAGAGATATTGAATGATGATGCGGTGGAAGTCGCTACATGAAAACTAACAGTGATTTGGAAACAAATCGAAAATCTAAAGGCTATTAACGTCACAACTTGGTGACATAGCATAAGCGCACTTGTCCCACCGCCGCACAGTGGGTGAAAAAAAGAGGTCCCCTTTCATAGGATTTTTGAAAAAATAAAAATGTATATTATCCGTTTAAGGTATGCGGTTTTATTGGACATATCAGTACATTGAATAATAAAATAGTTTGGGGAATTTCCTTTTAATCTAACACCATAAAGCACGGGCTTTAGAGTTTCAAATGTATGAAAACGGAATTTGTTTTGCTCATAACTTGTCTCGGTCTTCTACGGTCAAGCTGAAACTAATAGGGATTATTACCGGGTCTGTTACGAAGCCATGTGACCTTTGACCTTCACCCCGGACGGCCCCGTTCAAAAGATACGAATTTTTCAAAATGCTTATTAGGGTAATTTTGCTTTACGGGGTTATTTATGTGTCTCAATAAACAGTTTGTTTATGTTTCTTGCCCAGCATTTAGTTATTAATACAGCGCAGATTATTATCTAATAAAACTATACATATATATATAGATAACGACACCATACAACTTAACTTTAAATAAAAGCGTCCTTATTCAAAAGATATGGAATTAATATAAATAGATAAAAGAAATAGTTTTAAGAAAAAGAAAACAAGAATACAATATTGTAAAGAATTACAATGAAGTCCTTTACAGCCTACAATTTAATCTTTTGTTTGACAATCGCCTAAAAGCCGCGCGCCATTAACGAGAGCATCATAGTCCAGGAGCCACCGCCTGTTTTTTTCATTGATTAATAACAGGCTGAATCTTGGTGAGTAGTTTCCGTTCGACGAGACGCCCAAGTTTTTCCTCTGTGAAAATTCTCGATAGAGGTAGCTAATAAAGTGCGCAGCTATAAAGCATGTCGATTTGGTGGAGTGTTGAAATTGTCTGACTAACAGTTTATTTTTTATTACAATGTTTAAATAATTGTATTATAAACTGGGAGGAATAATTGTCCTACAAAATGGATGGTTTGTTTGAGAGCGTCCTCCACTCCGAATATGTCGAAACGACGCGGCCATAAAAATAATTAATAACAAGCTGATTTTTTGTATGCAGCTTTGTAAATATTGTTAGAATGGAATGACCGTTTAGTCCTACAAATTTAGTGGTAGGATTTCTCAGTCCGACACTTCGAAGTTGGCAATTCTATGGTAATAATTTTTTCATTAATAACAGCCTAGTTTAAATTTTTTCCTATCGGGGATAAAGTGTAGAACACTATTTTATCACTGGCCTACAAAAAAAGTAGTATGTATATATATAATTAAATATATATCAAGCGGTCCTGATAAGCATGTACCATTTTCCACTATTCTTGGAATAAGCACGATTAGCAGCATGGAACAGAACTGGACTCTCGTCGCGGAGGTACCGTGTTCGATCCCTTGGAGAAACTTTTTTTTTTTTTAAATCGGGGAACACAAATTGTCAACAATATTGGAAGAATGAATTTCCGTCGCGTATTGAATAAATTAAGACGCATTAATTATTAATTATTTTTCTAATTATTTTTCGGAGAATATTTATCAAGAGACGCGACAGCGGCTCGAGGCCAAGTTTAAAAAAAAAAGCGTAGCGCGCGAGCTGCCGCACTCTTATTTACAGTAAAATTGGGGTTAACTAGTTACAACACATTGAAAGCAGCTGAGTGGGGGCATTTAAGGGATTTTTCGGCGGGAACTGAGAAAGATCTAGAAAGAAGCCGTGCCGGCCATCTGGCCTTGGGTTCCCTTCCCAAGCCAGTCGGGCACAAGCGTTCAAAGCGATGACATATTTCAGTCGAAGCGTTCAAAGTGCCGTAAAAAAACCTTGATATAAAAGTTAAGTGAGTGAAAATGGAGTGTTTTTTGTGTACTGTACTCCGTGGAAAACCAAAGTTTCGCGAAAAAAGAGAAGAAATAAAAAATTTTTCCAAAGAAATTCTGCTCTCGTGCAAGCAATTTTTAAAGGCGCGAAAACATCATCGGCACAAATATAACGACGTAATACTGCCCGCCAGTTGTGATGACGAAATAATCGGTTATCATTCCTCTTGCTACAAGGAATTCCGAGTCAAGGCTAAATATTTGACTTATGAAAGGTAAGACATTCAAATATTTTTAAGCGGGTATTTTGTCTAATCACTATAAAAATTCGCCTAAAAATCTCGCTGCGGACGTTCGATAGAATAGAAATAAGAGCAAGAATAGAGACGAGTCCACCCAGCCTCGAACGTTTTTACCGGGACAGCTGCACAGTATTCGTATATTCGATTGTCTGGGATTACACAGGTATGCTGAAGCAGCCGTTTACTTTTGAAATACCGTTAGGTTCGGGGGTTTGGTGTTTGGAGTCGCGGTACATTTAAAAGCGAATCGCTGCAAGATATATATATATATATATATACACAATACACAATACATACATACACAGATTTCCGTGTCCATATATCTCAAAACAAAACAAGCCTCAGCTGACCGGACTCGCACCTTCAACTTAATTATGAAAATCATATTACCCAAGGCCAACGGCATTTCGAATATAAACAGCTGCTCCAACATAACCACAGAGAAATAAAACGACTTACGGGCAATTTTTCCGTTTCCTTTCCAAATTCCTTGCATCGTCCTAATGAAAATAATCATTTATTTTTATATTTTGCATGAAAACTTTGCTCCGAGCATCCTAAAAATATTAACTTTGATTTTCAGTCGGTATAAAACGACAGTTAATATAAATATAAAAATAAATGATTATTTACATTAGGACGATGCAAGGAATTTGGAAAGGAACGGAAAAATTGTCCATAAGTCGTTTTATTTCTCTGTGGATATGTTAAAGCAGCTGTTGATATTCGAAATGGCTCGGAGAATTCGGTTTCAAAACAATACAAATCTCAGCTGATCGGCCTCGCCCTTTCAAATAGATTACGAACGTCATAAAAATGAATTTATTCGAAATGTGCTTCCAGTATTCCAAGAAAAACTGCAACTTTCGAAAAATCTTTTCAGCAATTAATTTTTCCATGAAAACTCTGTACTCGAAAAACTATTGTAAAAATTCAATCTCTTTTGTAAACATTCTACCGTTATTTGGATCGACACTTACTTTTTTGACAATTAAAATTTATTCAATGTAAAAATTCATCAGTTAATTCTGTATAAAATATGACGAAAATTGATTTTGTCATTTTCCTTTCCGAATTTCATGAATCATTCTAATGAAATAATCATTTATTTTTATATTTTGCATGAAAACTTTACTTCCAGCATCTTTGTAATATTGACTATGGTTTTATACTGACTAAAAATCATATGTGATAAAAATAATATAATAAATGTCGAAATTATTGTCACAAACGGAAATGTTTTCATATACAGCTCCGATTCGAGCGGCACATCACCACCACGCAGATCTCGGGAAAATATTGATCATTTGTCAACATCTTGTACAGACGTACAAATAGATGAATTACCATCCACTTCACGGTTAGTAATAAAATGTAAACAAAACTCTAGCGAAATCAAACGAACGATTGCAAAATTTTTACAAGAATTAAGAATAATAATAATAGTAATTAATAGTAATTAAGTATAATTAGTATAATTTTAATAGTAATTCATCAAGACTTTTCCAAAATTATACAACGCATTTCATTATATCATTTACAGATTTATTGATGAAGATGTAATAGACAGTGCAAATCTTGAAAGATCCAATGTCGAAAAGTTGGCGAACGCATGCTTTTTTTGCCAAAAAATCACCATCAAACCCAAAGGACGACAAATATATTGTCGTACGATCAAAAATAAAAAAGCGTTCCTGGAAAAAATCAAAACATATGCAACAGAACTGGGGGATCTAGATTTGTCTTGCCGAATACAAGAAGAGTTAAACTCTGATGATAGCACGATGTGTTATCATAATAATTGTAGCCTCGATTATTTTGCGAAATATCAAAATAAGATACATCGCCCACCTAACAGCGATTGGGCCTCAAAAAGGGATTGCCACAAAATTGCTAGGGAACGATTGATTGGCTACGTTGAACGGGAAATAATTGAAAACAAACGGGTTCTTTCGATGGCTCATTTGAACGATTGTTATGCAAAGTTTTTAACTGAGTTATATGAAATCGCAGATCTTGACGCAAGCATTTTCAGCACTACTGCTCTTCAAGACCACATTAAAAAGGAACTCAGGAATAAAATTTCAATGGTGAAACTTTTTGTTATGTCGGTGGAAATTGATATTGAAACAGTGGAGGACGAAGAAATTGAAAATATTTTATTCCAACAAGAAGCTCAAGATTTCGCTTTAAAATATCGCAAACATATTTTGAAAATAAAGAAAAATGCTTTGCCGGATTTCATTGATAGCGAAGTACTGGACAGAGGAGAATGCGATATTCCAAAATGGTTGCGTATATTTTGGAGTACTGCTTTGAGCGGTGTTAGGAAAAAAATATGCAATCGCGTTGAACGATTGTCTTCGTGCTACTCACAGGACTCTATTTATAGTATCACAAGGGGCAATATAAAACCGCGCAAACATATTTCATTGGGCATTGCGATAAAAAGTCTTACGGGAAGCAAAAAAGTAATCGACATACTGAGCAGACAAGGTTACTGCATAAGTTACAGCGGAATTCTAGAATTGGAGACGTCTGCAGCATACTCTTCGACTTCGAACAATCTTTTATGCCGTTCCGGTATTCAAACAACTTCGGTGTTATCGTCTGGAGTAGCGTGGGATAATTTCGATAGATTTGTAGAAACGACCTCAGGTAAAAATACTTTGCATGATACTGTTGGGATCCTTTATCAAAGTATCCCCACGGAAGAGGAATTGGATGCAATCGAAAAAA